ACCTATTCCAGTGATATGTATAACAAGAGGTTGAGCTAGTTCATTCTCATCATCAGTGATGTCTTAAAGACCTATTCCAGTGATATGTATAACAAGAGGTTGAGCTAGTTCATTCTCATCATCAGTGATGTCTTAAGATATGTATAACAAGAGGTTGAGCTAGTTCATTCTCATCATCAGTGATGTCTTAAAGACCTATTCCAGTGATATGTATAACAAGAGGTTGAGGTAGTTCATTCTCATCATCAGTGATGTCTTAAAGACCTATTCCAGTGATATGTATAACAAGAGGTTGAGCTAGTTCATTCTCATCATCAGTGATGTCTTAAAGACCTATTCCAGTGATATGTATAACAAGAGGTTGAGCTAGTTCATTCTCATCATCAGTGATGTCTTAAAGACCTATTCCAGTGATATGTATAACAAGAGGTTGAGCTAGTTCATTCTCATCATCAGTGATGTCTTAAAGACCTATTCCAGTGATATGTATAACAAGAGGTTGAGCTAGTTCATTCTCATCATCAGTGATGTCTTAAAGACCTATTCCAGTGATATGTATAACAAGAGGTTGAGGTAGTTCATTCTCATCATCAGTGATGTCTTAAAGACCTATTCCAGTGATATGTATAACAAGAGGTTGAGCTAGTTCATTCTCATCATCAGTGATGTCTTAAAGACCTATTCCAGTGATATGTATAACAAGAGGTTGAGCTAGTTCATTCTCATCATCAGTTATGTCTTAAAGACCTATTCCAGTGATATGTATAACAAGAGGTTGAGGTAGTTCATTCTCATCATCAGTGATGTCTTAACGACCGGTCCAGTGTGGTGTGCAAGCTACACTGCAGTCACTTCATAACATTGACTAGCCTACACCATCACAACCATCGATGTGAATGTATTTGTTTGATGTGTTCCTAAACACGTCAGGTGATGTGGCCGTGAATCCGGCTAACCGTTTACTTTTGACACCAAAACAAACGAAAACTATCTCTTCACCTTCACTACTTGCTTTGTAAAAAATATATTATAGCCCATACATACAGCCTATACATACAGCACATACATACATGTACATACATACAGCACATATATACATGTACATACAGCATATACATACAGCCCATACAGCCAATACAGCCAATACACGGCCTCACACAGCTAACGCAGCAAATACAGCCTACACAGCACATAGAGCCCATACAGCCCATACAGCAAATACAGCAAATACAGCCACTACCCGGCCCCACACAGCACATACAGCCCACACAGTCAATACAGCCCAGTTCCTGAGTTCCTGAGCCTCTAATTTCAAGGACAATATTGTGTCATCTCTATCCTCTTTCATGGACACAAACTACGCGGACATGGATGCGAAGGATACCGCAAGGCTATTAAGCTGGTCTTCTACAACAGACGTACCGTGTGTAGTGGCTGGCTGAGGCAGCACTCCCACGCCATTCTCCCGGAGGTGCTTGACGATGCTTGGTCGACGGATTTCAGCTCACCAAGGTTGATCAGATCCTGATATCCAAACAGAGCTAGGTGTGTATTCTCATCGAGAGACATTGTGTTAGTCTATAGAATACAAAGTGGTTTGGGCCGAACTACCCAAAAGGTAGGGACGTACTGCAGAGGGTAATTCTCGGAGCACGAAAATTTGTTGCATCCGCCTCTAAAGTTGACTTTTAGAGCGAAATCCTATGTCAGAATGATTCTCTTGTGCTCCAGTCGGCATGACGGCAGATGGGAATACCCACATTATTGCAGCCCGTCGGTACTGAAAGCCGAAGCTCCTACTGGTTAGGAGCTCTCGGCCTGAACTCGTAAAGCTATTGAAATAATTCAATGTGCCATCAGGCATCATTCCCACACATGTAGAGAAATATAGTAAGTAAGCAATCCAGAGCGTTTTCTTGTGACCGTCTTCAGGTATCTTTACCTCTACTTGGTCTTTAGAAACAAAAAACAGCAAGTGACCAGTGTGCAGTCTGTGTACATGTAGGTAAACTGTCCAGGCAAGGAAACTACTACTGGTACTGCTACTACTACTAATAATAACACAGTTGCTCGTAAGAAAAGGTTTGCTCCCCACACTTGCGCGTAATGGAACATCAATATTGTGAAATGTTCGGTCCGCTGCTGTCTCATGATGAATCTTCCCGTTGTTCTAGTTCAGAACCATTAGTTGTAGATCATCGCTCTGACTACTACTGGTACTAATGAAAACAAATCCCAAGTTACAGCTATATTGAGCGTGGGGGTGGGTCTTCTCATAACAATTACCAACCAGAACACAAGAAAGTATGGTGCAACAGCAGCAGCAAGGCCAGGTTGGGAAAGGAAATCGGGCCCTCCGTGTCGCCTGATAAAAATTCTGACACTGCGTCCACAGCAACATGGCCATGATATAACTGCAACGTGGTCATAAAGAGAGTAAACCAAAAAAGGGAATCAGATCATGCCAATGCAGAGTACACACTGCTATAAAAAGAAGAATAACATGACGTCATTAGTGCACTATGCAGAACATACATGGTCAGTGGGGTTTACAAGTGCGAGTACAAATACACGACATCCAGTTGACACCAACACACCACATGTACACAGGGCCACAGGACAGGGTTTGTGCTCGTACTGTCAGCCATGTATGAGTGTATTCTTCTGATATGCCATAATCCAATATACAATGTAGTTGATTAGACCAAATCGGGGATCCTGCTCCAAAATGATACAACACGTCCTGCAATGAGGCTAACCGCTAACCCTTTTTCAATGTACTTCGAAGAACAAGGAGTAAGTGAACTCCATACATGTACGTCGCAATAAGGAGAGGGTCCGAGGAGGTTATGCGATACACGTCATTGCCACCCCAAATTCTTCTATATAAGGGGTTTCTGTGCCCGCTTTGGGCATTTTGCCACACCGAGCCAGTTGGGGTGGCAAAATGCCCAAAGCGGGCACAGAAACACCTTATATAGAAGAATTTGGGGTGGCAATGACGTGTATCGCATAACCTCTATAATACTTTTAAAAAAAAATACTTCTAAGTGTGTAGAGATGTTCTGATACAAACATGTTAGAAGGCTACGTACAACGACACAGATAGAAGTCATACTTGGAAAACGCCTCCCGGTTTTGAAAGGTTCAAGCCTTTTCCAGAGTTCGCTCATTCAGCCACTATAAAAAAAGGTATGGATGTCTCAGTTCACAAGTTCTTACTGCCAATGCCACAAGCTTATTTTCAAGCAGAGATTAGCAGACAGTAACCAAATCTACAGTTGATACATTTTCAGGTACACGTTGTGTTTGTGCGGACCTTAGCAAGAAGCAGATATCACGTCATACAAAGGAAGAGCTGAGAACTTCTACATACATCTGAATAGTAAGTTGTGCGGATTGGGATTGTATTTTCGTTGCTTCAATTAGCATAGCGCTAATTGCAGAAAGGACAGAGTTCCGGCTCTTTAAGAGCATTTTGAAAGTTTTCGCTTTCACTAGCACACAGGCAAAATCAAATGATTTTTGCAGCGAAGAGACCACTTGGGTTGAAGATGGTGTGTGTGAGGTTTTCCAGAAAATCAAATCAACAAGGATATTGGAGCATTATCGCCTTCTTGTCTCCAAGGAAACTAGATTAGAGAAAGTCTGCATTCAAACATTCACCTCCGGTCTTTATCAGTAACATAATCCACGCAGAGGCAACAATTCGAAATAAAGCAATAAAAAGATGAAATGCGCACTCCTAACGTTATTCTATATACACGTTAAGGCAACGTTTGTGGTTATTAGTAGGTGTTCCAAGAACGTTTTCTTGTGATCATCATCAGTTAAAATAACCTTACTGAATTGACACGTAGGATATAATATAGAGAGAAAGTGCAACATTTGACAAATATTTTCCTGTAGGAAAAGGGTTACATTTTCTCCCTAGATAATCTCTAATTTTTGTTTCATATCAATAGAGTGATGTTGTTCCAACTGACGACTATCACAAGAACGCTTTCAAGTGGAACACATAACCACCAATTTTCCCTTGACATCTGTTAAAGAATATGACTTGTTGGGGTATTGAGATATCTCCGAATCTTTCCTCTTTCTCACTGTTTTCTCGCCAACCATCCTTCCCTGTAACGCAATAACATATTCCCTGCTTTGTCATTGAGCATTTCAGCATGACGGTTTGGATTTACGGATTAAAATAAAATTTTACTAACAAACAAACAAGCTTATGCGCAGTTTTCCTCTTTATTAGCAGTTCAGTGTTTTATCAATATCTTCACAAACGTAATAAGCTGTTCTTCTGACCAGACGAGACCCCAGAACGCTTGCAGACACCAGCACGAACAGTCTATCAGCCACTTATCAGCCACTCGTCTTGCCTCGTGTAGTCTTGCCTGATTACACGCAGATCTTATCGCTCAAGTATTAATGAAAAAAGGAGTAAATTTTCGTGTACATTCCCGAAGGGAACTCACGACTGCCGCTAACACCCGGTAAACCCTAGCGGCAGATGTAGCGCCTAACGGTGGGGGTGAGTGGATAAGTCTCACAACCACTGGCACAAGTGCTGGGAAACCCCATTAGCCACATCCATGTACCCCTTGTGCCTGGCCACAAGTTCCCGGTTCATTGTGGGTAGCAGCACTGCTGGAAAAACCGCTCCCATGCAGGACTTGAACCAGGTACCTCTCGTGTCTCAACCATGGTCTTACCCACCCACTGTGCCTGCCTGGTATTAATATACAGACCAAATTAATGGAAAATTGGTCTTCAGTGTCACCATTTCTAAAATCTTCAAAATAATGATCTTACCATGTTGTTGTTATCTGTGTGTGTGTGTGTGTGTGTGTGTGTGTGTGTGTATGTGTGTGTGTGTGTGTGTGTGTGCATGTGCATGTGTGTGTATATGTGTGTGTGTGGGCATGTGTGTGTATATAATGTGTGTGTGTGTATTCGTGTGTGTATGTGTGTGTGTGTATGTGTGTGTGTTACTGTAGGAAAGATGTTGCTGATTCACCATGGCTGGTCACTGCTACTCTCATTAGCCATTGTGCTGCCATGTTACTGTGTAGCCCTACCAGTGAAAGACGTCAATGGCTCCACAACACGTGATGTCCAGGAGACAGTGGCCACGGCATTGGACGAGTCATCGGTTGAACACAAACGAGCTGAGCGCAGCATTGGTCGTGGTCCACTGGTACGTCAAAGTCCGCATGCCGAGCATCGTCAGAAAGGCAAGTTGGCCTTTCTCCCACCAATGATCCATGACAACGTTATTGATGAAGTTCTCCAAACTCCCGTAGACAGCAGCGGAGATGGGCCAGACGTACTCGACACACACGCAGTCTCCTGGTTTGAAAACGCGGATTCGTTTGGAGGATTTCTGGACATCCCACCTGTCACTGAAATCGACATTCCGCAGCCAAGTGAGCCAGAGCAGCCCACGGCAGCAGCAGCAGCGGCTACTACAGAAGTAGCTACCACAGAAGCGGCTACCAAAACAGCGGCTAGCACAACAGCGGCTACTGCAAAAGCCGCTACTGTAGCGGCAACAACGACTACTCCTCCGGCCATGGATATGACTACCCCTCCGGCCATGGAGATCAAGGCACCAATGCATCACCAGATGGGCCAAGCAGCGTCTTGTCGCAGAGAGCTGGCTTCCGTCAGTGTGGAAGGTGACGGTTGTCGCAAGGCCGTGTCTATTGGTGTCTGTAAGGGAACGTGCATGCATACACCGAGAACCAAGAGACGACATCCGTATGTGCTGTATTCCTGCCAGTCCTGCGAGCCCACAACCACCAAGATAATCGAGGTGGCCATGAACGATCGCTATTGTCAGTCTCAACGTGGCAGGCTGGTGACGGAGAGAGGAGATCGAAACAAAACTTTCAACAGTATATATGTACCCAGTGCACTGAGCTGTTCATGCCGTCCGTATTCCCTTTAGATGTATTTCTCTTTCACCTACTACCTCAGGGATATGCACACGTCATGTACATGACTTTATTGTATTACTTACAATCACCAAATTTCCCAATAGACGACAAGCCAGCAGTCCAGGACTGACGAATTGTCCGCAATTGCCATCATCGCTGCTGGTATCATTATTGTACTGGCCCGGTATTTAGTTTTGACAACAAAACATGGCGGAACTTCCACGCTATTTCCTGCAATCCTAGTATTCTTTGACATCCTACATGTACATAATATTATCCTTATTCTATATCCCACAAGTTATCATTATTTGTGGATATCACATTTTTACAAGCAGTGATTCGATGATCATGACGTCTTTGACCATGGTACCGTATACTATCTTACGTCATCGTGTTGATCATCTTGAGTAGTAAAATTATGAATTCACATTTCCATAGAAAAAGGATTCTTTTCTACTGAAGCCTGCTCGGTCACAATGGTTACCCGTTGTGATGGCTCGTCCGTACTAGTCAACTACGTCATGTAACAGTGATGGATATCTCAGGATGGATATCTCAGGATGGATATCTCAGGAAACACATGTACATATATGATTGTTGCTGTCTGATGATCGGTTAAAACCGTGAAACTCAGAGTTACAGAAGAAACGCTTTTGATCCCTCTCAAGTGTGTGTATAATTGTATTCGATCTGCGGACAGAACTGTTTCGTCCGTCTTTGTCTCGTCAGCACGGTCATACAGAGAAACTCATGCCCAACCTGATAGCAGTGAAACACTCATTATAATTTCCAAAGCCAGACCAGGCCCGACGTGCGTGCTGGTACATGTCATGTACGTTGCCAGGCCTACGAGTGTGTAAGGATATCCTTGCTAATAAGTTGCTATGCCTAGCTAGAAATACAATCATGTACTTACAATCATGTACTTACAATCATGTACTTACAATCATGTACTTACAATCATGTACTTACAATCATGTACTTTCAATCATGTACTTACAATCATGTACTTACAATCATGTACTTACAATCATGTACTTACAATCATGTACTTACAATCATGTACTTACAATCATGTACTTACAATCATGTACTTACAATCATGTACTTACAATCATGTACTTACAATCATGTACTTACAATCATGTACTTACAATCATGTACTTACAATCATGTACTTACAATCATGTACTTACAATCATGTACTTACAATCATGTACTTACAATCATGTACTTACAATCATGTACTTACAATCATGTACTTACAATCATGTACTTACAATCATGTACTTACAATCATGTACTTACAATCATGTACTTACAATCATGTACTTACAATCACGTGATAGCAGTGAATCATGTACTTACAATCACGTGATAGCAGTGAATCATGTACTTACAAGTAAAGAGCGCAGTGTGATGGTGGAGGTGACTCAACATTTTACAAGTAATAATAATAAAATTATTACCGGTACACAGTTTCCTCGGGGATAAGAGTGCGATAACACTACTGAAGTACCAGTATGAAAAAGGACATACGTCATACTCTTGAATAACATCTTGAAACGGTTTGACCGGTATACTGTTTCCAGCCTTCTCGTGACGTCAGGTGAACTACATGCAAAACAAGCGCTGAGGACCGTTGGCCATTCACAACGTTGTTCAGCACCTCCATGAGCGACACTGACTCACGCTGCTATGTTCACGAGGTGTTTGTCGCGCTGGAAACGGAGCGTCTCTGTAGGTTTGTATCCCTGGTGATGTTTGTGCCTGGAGAGCACTATACAAGTGGTGCTCTTCAGGTACAATCTTCCTCAGCCTACTCAAACTCAACTGATGAGGGGTGAATTCCCCGAAACACTGTGTATTGAGCCGGGAGTAGTGCTTTCTTGCAGGTTTGCCGAGTAGACGGTTCGATGGACTTCTTGCGTGCTCTGGATGGCAGTCGTGAGTCAGTGAAGTGAGAATTCAAGTCGGCAGGAAACCCCCCGAGCTCCCATGTAGTGAGCAACACACAATTCCTCTTCTTCCTTGCGCTGTGTCTATTTCCTCCCTACTAAGTATGTACAAGTACGTAATGGCGGAATTGGTACGTTTCCTGTAACAATGATTCAGCACCATCGCGCCTCTCATCAAGATAATACAGTCGTCCCTGTACCATATTCTAGGTAAATCTTGAGAACTATCATTACTTATAGTCGAGAAACCGTTTAGCCTAAAACTTGGTTCATTGCCTCTTCATCTGAGTTTACTATAATAATAATTAATTTTCTTCTTCGTTCTGCTGCTGTCGAATTATTATTTTCATTTCCCTCTCAGGTAACCTCCTGGATAGGCTGATCTACAGCCATTTTCCAAAGATGGATTCCTTGAAAGTCCTCGACCTCCGCATTCTCAGCATCATGCGCGGACCGGGAAGCGACTTCAAGCCATTCCTTTGTGAATCGTGGTAAGTGAAGCATGGCGCCAGGTATCCAGGGCAAAGCAATGATTGTTATGCTCCTTCCTGAGATATTGATGATACTACTCTTGTTATTACGGCACAGTAAATCCTGTCAAGGCGACCACTCGGATATGGCGACCACTCGGATAAGGCGACCACTCGGATAAGGCGACCACTCGGATAAGGTGACCACCTGCCCAAGAAGACCACTGCAATCAGGACCAAGGGATGCTATTTCCAGTCAAATGACCCTGGACAAGGAGACAGACCACTTGGTAACAGAGACCAGGTTTTGAAGGTCCCTCAGTTGAGCGGTCGTCTTATACAGGTTTCACTGTACTACCGGTAATGGCAAGTAGCCCTTGGCAGGCAATGCGGGAAAATCGGCAGAATGTTGTAGTGTTTCTGGTATGTTTTCTGCACGTTTGGCATGTGGATACAGAAATGGAGCAGATTTCAAGGAAGTGCCTGCCATAAGGTTCCATCAATTTCTCTGCTTTTCAAGCAGAATCTGCAAAATGTTCGACCGCTAAGGGCTTCCGGCCAAGCCATCACAACGCATAACATTGCAGACTTCTGTAGAAACAATAGCATAATACAAGTGTCAACAAATCGCTGCAAGTTCTGAAAGAATAAAATTGATATTCATTGGTTAAAATTGATAGTAATATCTTGGAGGGGATAGCGAAGAATAAAATCTTGTGGTGACCACTTGCACTGATCTCTCAAGTAGGTAATTTCTACCATTCAATAGGGATGATGGCAAAAGGTGAGAATCTGTTGTTCACAACCGTTGTATTTCTTCAGTGAAATTGGTGATTGAGAAATATTTCTATTGTTTGATTGCGGATGCCTGGCACGAACAGCTGGTTGCACTGAGTAAGAAAATGTTGGAGAATGAGTTGTTTTTGTCCTCCTTGCCCTTCTCCAGTCGTTGCTGCCGACATTCTTGATCGTTCATATCCACTCGATACGGTTTGGATGTGACAGGAAAGCACTTTGAGCAGGGATATTTTACAAAAGGGTGAGTTTTTAGGAAGACGGGCTTAGACATGCACGTTCCCGAACAGACTCCGATAGATACACGCTTGAGGCAGCCAGCTCGTTTAACCAGGATATAGGTCATTTCGCTACGACAGGACTCGTGGTCCAGTCGGTAATCAATGCTGCCACCGTTGCTGCCTTCGGTTCGTGGGTGCTCCGCCAATACCTCTTCCCATTCTGTCTCCAGTGACGCCATTGACTCCTGTTCATCACGTGATGTGGAGCCATGGCCGTCATTGGCTGGTAGGGCTACACAGTGCCATGGCAACACGATGGCTAACGAGAGTAGCAGTGACCAGCTGTGGTGAATCAGCATCATCTTTCCTATAGTAACACACACACACACACACACACACACACACAAGCACACACATGTAACATCATGTACATACACATTACTTCAGTATTTTAAACGTCAGCTGGAAATAAGTACATGTACGCACACACAAACACATACACAGACGGGTGGACTCACGCACACACACGGTAGAAAGAGAAAGAAACCAATGATCACGAACTGTGCACCAAAGTAACCATGTACATGTGCAAGTGAAGTCAGCGAGTGCAACAAGCCGCACAAAAACCGCACAAAACTGTACAAAAACTGTACAAAACTGCACAAAACCCCCACAAAAACCACACAAAATCTACACCAGTATGAAAACCGACGCGAAGTCGAGGTTTTTTTATTATTATTATTATTTATTCATATTTTGATAGGGCAATCCCCACAGACTCAAGGTCTTCTTATAACTGGTGTCCATCTCGATATACATGTACACGAGGTCCCTTTGTTATAATATATTTATACCTCTCCATATTCACCGTTTGTGACCTCCTAATGGCTTGTTCCTCGCCGACAGCTACTTCTAATTTCCCCTAGCTGTGTACATGTATATGGAGATAGACAGTTGTCTAAAGTCCTCAGGCTGCTTACAGTGCTCAATACCCACTGGACAGAGCAAGTAATACAAATATTACACAGCAATGAATCAAACAAGTCTCTTTCCGCTGTCACCCCTTTTCCTCGCGCTATTGAAATGTTGTACCTCCATCACCTTTGCACTCTTCTCTCAACACCCTCCGTATACATGTATATATTCTAGTGATTGTTAGTCTTGGTCATATGCTACTGTCTGATGAGTGCTTTCACACGAAACTCCGAGTAACAGCCGACAGAGACTTGTTTGATTCATTGCTGTGTAATATTTGTATATGGAATTATATACACCACTAAGGGAGAGCATGACCAAGACTGTATTAAAGTGTATTATGGAGATATATAAACCACTAAGGGAGATCTTGCCCAAGACTGTAATAAAGTGAATTATTGAGATATATACACCACTAAGGAAGATCTTGCCCAAGACTGTATTAAAGTGTATTATGGAGTGAGGTATAAAACAGGTTACGTAGTCTTGATAGCACCTACATGTATATGTACATGTGGCTAGAACCGTGACATCTTCGAAACGCAACCCGACAATCTTCCAAACGTTCAGATTAGGAATGTGTGAGTACTCTCCCTGGTCAGTATTGCGTCTTGTCGCACTCTGGTGATTGTACATGTATATTCTCTGGTTACTTTGGTGGATAGTTGGTCATAACACGTAACAATGTTGTCCTTCCTTTTTTATTTATTTGTCCAGGATTACATTGGCTTGCCATCTGAGTCCATAGTTAAAACTGTTCATTAAAATCGATATTTGTTTAGCATCAACCATCACACTAGACCTGAGCTCTCCGGCCGAGCTCGACACGTGGTAGTGACAGAACACCATCAGTATCATCAGCTGGTTGGTTGGTATATTTTATTTTACTTCGCCAGAATAAACAGGCATTGCTGCCTTCTTGCCTGGACAAGTGGATTGCCCAAGCTCTCACAAAAAGACGAAGAAAGGAAATAGATATTACATGAGAGTGTGAAGCATGCAATCTTATAA